CAGGCAACTCATGGACTCAAACCACTACCAGTGATAGACTTCATCAGGGAGTTCTGGGAATCAGTAATGAAACGTGCACATTTCTAAACCACGGTCTCATCAGATCTCTTTTCTCACTGTAACAAAGTAACTTCCCAAGTAAACACAGCAATGAGTCTTTGAAGGGGTAGAGCAGCAGCAGGAAAGCTGTTTAGGGCTTAATAAGAGTTAATGAATGCACTGAGTGGAATTAAGACTTTCCATGCAGCAGAAAAAAGTAAGAAAGGGGGTTGAAATGGTCCATAACTCAGAAATACAATCATGTGCCTTTTCAGGCACATGAGCAATTCCATTAAACTAATCTGCTTTAATTGCATTAAGCTTAGAGACTACTCAGACGCTTAAACTCAAACATATGATTAATTATTTCCCTAAAAGAGGCCCCAGTCAAGAAGAATGGATAACGCAAACAAACGTTGTATGTAGGCATTTACATGTTTCAAGGTATTTGATTCAGCATTCTACAAACTAAAACATTCAAATCAGTTTTTTGGTGGAAAATCTGGATGCAAAACATTCTCAGAACGCAGTATCTGAACAATTACACAACATTATTTTGCTCATATTCTATACGTTTTCAGTATGCATTAAAAAAAACAATATAAAAAGTATGTCCTTAAGTAAATTCAAGTAATAAATAGGAGCTGGTATTTTTTTGCCCAGCTCTCACTGGTGAACTGCTCTTGCAGAATTAATTTCAGGTGCTAAAAAAGTGACTACTTTCACACACATAAAAAATTCCGACAACGACCAAATACTTACAGTTCAGTCTGTCACTGGAGTCTGTTATGCATTAATTAGCATCTCTGATCATATACTGATTAATTAACTATATTCATTTTGACTTAAATTATAGGGCATTTTGCAGTTTATGTATCATATAAACTTACTCTTTCATGTTGCTTCTTCAATTTATCCTATATTTTATTTTGGGGGTGCCATTATTATTTACTTTGAACAAACAAACAGGCATGTCCACACCAGCATCTCTGAAACTACAATTAAGATGTTCAGCAAGATGCTGTCTGATATCTCCATTGTGACAACTAGCATCTGAACCCAAAGAGGACAATCAGCCCATAATGTACTGCACTTTATTCTGAGCGAAATGTGAATGGGGAAAATGGGTAATAAATTAAATTTAGATTAAAAAAAAGGAATTTTGTTCACAACTTCATGGTTAAAAGCCAAAATAGAGAAGTTTGATGGATGCTGCCTTCAGAGTGAACACTGGCTCACCCTAATGCATATTCTGTAGCTGCATTTGAGTCAGCATTTGAGGACCTGTTGCCATATGGAAAATGAGGAACAATTACTCTAAATAATTACATCAGTTTATTGCTGTCTGTTGCCAAGAGAAACAAGCCTTGTTGGTAATATCCACTTGCCGTTGCCAAGTAACTTAATCTTTAGGGAAACTAAATTTGCTCCAGTACTAACACTTCTCTAACAATAAATATCCTTTCTAACTGATATCATCATGGCTTATAACTGTATCTTTGTTCTGACAATTTCCTCAGGTAATCTCTGCTCAGTTACAGGTTGATGGCCGCAGAGGTGTGAATTATCACACCTGGCATGAGACCTGCACAGAGATGGAATCTGAGTACGAGCTGGGCAGTCCAGGCTACCCTCACAGTCACTGGGGAGAAATCAGAACTTTTCAGGCAAGTGAGCTGAACCCATAACAGACATCATCAGCCGCACGGCAGAAGCGCCCATTTCTCCACTGATCAGTAGTCCAGGTGGAGGTGTCAGCTGTCCCAAGCTCCCAAGCTAGGGAGATGAGTCCAGGTCAGGTGCTCTCCTATCCAGGCTGCCAGTGGGAAGGGAAGCCAGCCTCTGGCAGCGTGACTGAACTTTTCCTTTGGCAGCAAAGCCTGGCGAGAGTCGGGCCTGTACTGTAAAACCTGTAGGCTGGGATTTTCAGAGAGCGGCTGTTGGTATTTGGACTCAACAGCAGCAGTGTGAGGCCTCGGGGAGGCACTTCGAGGCAGACACAGATCTTGGTCTGAGCTACCAAGGAAAGGCAAGCTGGCGCTGGCACCTCCCTCACGCTTCTGCCACAGGCACCTTCACCGTTCTCCAGCCAGACTGGCTGTGCCTTTCAGTTCATCATCACTTGTAAACTTCAGAACCCTGCTGTTTAAGTGCTATCATCCAAATCGTTGCAGACAGCAACTTACTGTTTCTTATTGTGCTTTCCACTTAAATTTCATTCCAGCTTGGAAAGACAGCACTGAAATCCCCCTTCTTTTCTCCTCTCAAGACTCCTTGCACTGCAGTTCTCGTTTTATCTTTGGCTTTCTGAAACCATCAACAAAGCCCTGAAAAACCCCACTTCTGCCTTACCTACCACTTTGCTGCAGTGAACAACAGCAACACCGTGACCAAGTGTTTTCTTCTCTCACCAAAATCACGTTGTGCCATTTTAATTCAGCCGTGTTTCTAAGTGCCTGATAAAAAAACCTCTCTCACACCTGCAGTTGCCCTCACAGCCGACACCAAATGAACAGCACTACTTAGGTGGGTGCCTGACAGGCCCTTTATTTAATGCTCATACCACACAAAGCATTTTGCAGTCTTCAGTGATTCCTCCCTAAGCCAATTGAACTTGCTGATTCAAAAACTACCTTGTTTTCCGTGCTGACAGTGACTTGACAGAAACTGCAGAGCTTATTATGTTTTTCTGATTTCTCTGTGCTCTCTGTCACCGATTCGCTTTACTGTGCTTATCCACTCTCACATGTTAACAACCTCTAATCAACATCTAGGATCCTCTAGTGGCTGGAGGCATGGGTTTTTTCACTATGGAAAACATTTCCCATGCAGCTGTCACAACAGAACCCTTTCTTTGGGTTTGTTCTCTACTTTTTTGGAAAACAGTACCATGGAGAGAATGATTTCAAACTAGACATATAAACTTCCCACCTGAATCAGGAGTACTGATGACAATAAAATGAAATCCAGTGTTACGAAGGCCTTATCTTCCTCTTTTTTCCAACAGGTCAGTTACTTTCTTGACGACACTGACTGTACATGAAACTCTAATTCACCATGCCTCACCGCTATGTTGAATCAGGGTATAAATACCCTCTAAGATCTGATTTGAACAGGTATTTATGCCCTTCTCATTTCAAATTTCTTCTGAGGACCCATTTCTGTAATGATATCTACAGAAGAGCTGTTCCGTATACCTTTGATTATATTCTATGGAATTAATTTAGTTCTATAGGAAAGCTGTTCTATCAGAGTGCATTTCTGCTTAACCAATAATTCCATAACCAAATGCTTCCAGATATATCTTCCCATTGTTTATCATTTTTCTCCACCACCATCACTTTTCTAAGGTCAAATCCTAAAACTGTAGTTTAAAAATTACTTGGCAGAAGCAACATCTCTTAGCCAGGGTGTCTGCACAACTCACACTTTCAGTGCAGAGCTCCACCATTCCCAATCTACAGCTAATAATATTTGAACTAAGAACATATACTCCTGATTAAATGGATTTAATCTTATTCCTAGACCAACCTTTCATAAATTATTTTACTTATGTATACACACATAGTTTTCTTCTTAAAAATTAATATATATTAGTGTGCGGGGTGCAGTGTGTATTGAATCGATTCTTGGTAATACAAGTAAGGAAATCTCTAAGTACATAGAGCAATCTGTGTAGCTCCTCTTCTACTTACAAAGGTTGTCCCTTTGTCTTCATAACTCTAATAGTGTATACAAATTGGCATCGACAATATACAGTTATTTGCTTCCTAAGGTTCTCTATTTCCTTGGTATTTCTGAAGGTCACAGGGACTCAGCCAAACCTGAAACAGTCATTTTAATTCCCAGTCTTTTCATTTCACTATAATGTAATTATCTTATAGATTTTTCTGTAGACTTATTTACTAGTTTTCTTTTCCTGTTGGATAAGTATACAATAACTAAACTAACTCCAATTAGGTAACTGTCACCAATATTTAAAATATAATGGCATTTAAAAAATTACATAAGTAATCCAAGCATAAACATTATTCTTTATGGTAACGTTTCAGCTCAGTGGCACCAAATCCTTATCACATATTAGCCTGTGACTCAGAAATATTAAACACAAACCACCATCATATTTTTCTGCTACGTAAAGTTACATATTCCTTGAGTTATATACAGCATCCTTTTTATATTTGTACTAAAGCATCTTCAGGAGATCCAAAATACAAAATGGAATATTCAGCACCTTACTTTAAACTCAGTATATTAAATTATTTTCTTAGCTACCCATATGTAATCCTACAGATTTTAGAAATCAGAATTTGTCCTTGTGTATTCAGATGTAGCAATGTGTCTACATTACATCTCCCCTCTAGCCCTGCTAGCACAGTATTTTAAAATCCATACACTCTCAGAGAGGCCACCATCCCAAGAGGCTCAAGGCACCTTGATATAAAGACCCTCTTGAATTTAAGCACACATTTAAATCCAGCATAAGTCTGTGTGCTTTGCAGTATCAAGAGAGTCTTAAAGATAAGCATAAGCCTAAATATTATGCTGAACTGGAGCTAGAAACAAGGTTTATCCTCTGAAGAAGCAGAATAGTTGTAATACCGCAGTACAGATTATTGATGCTCTGTGAGATTTCTCTGTGAATATAGCAGGAAGAGGAAAGTCTCCATTAATAAAATTGAAAACCATGAATTAGCAAATGCTGGAGACTGTAATAAGCAGGAAAACACATTAGCTCATGCTGAACCACAGGTTTCATCCTGTGCAGCATTCGGCTTTCATAAAATACAGGTTAGCTGCCTGCATTCAAGAGAATGATACGCTACCTTTAACAGTATTTGCTTTTTAATGAAGAGGAATGGCATCAGCGTTCTGGGAGAAGTTCATGATACATGTCTCTACGATACAACATGGCCAGTGTGAGAGTGTTAACTTGTTATAATATAATTTGAATAACTTACTTGAAGGCATTGGCATCTCTGTGGACCTTATAGTTGTCTGCACTGATTCTTGAGATAACTCTGGTGACAGCAATGAGAATGCCAATATTGACCTGAAGAAGAAGAAGAAGGAAGTACACAGTCAGTACTGGCTGTGTCAGAGGTACAGCTGCCCTAGGAGCGCATTGTACAAATACAACGGAAAATAGGAATTTTGCATGTTGTACTCATTTTGAAAAAGAGGTTTCTAGTATGGACTGGTATAGTTTGACTCTTGTCAGTGCATTTCCCTCTCCCCACAGTGGGTAGCTATTGCTTGTGCTTTCTTTCCTTCCAGAACAGCCCTTGCCTGTTTAGAATAAGGCTGGATTGAGACATGGTTTCACAGCTGAAGAGGTGCTCAGGATCCCTACTGTACGAATGAATACCCTAACAATCTACAACCAGCTGACACAGGGGCATGTGTCTGCATGCTGCTTGTTTCTGTGCCTGCATGAGCACAGACTTCCAAAAGCACATTTCTCGCTAGACTTCACAGTGTACAATTCCTGCTTCTTACCAAAGTCTACTTGCAGTTTAAGCACAAGATTATTCTAAAACAGCAATGAGTAAATGTGTTGTGGCTGAACTCTGCTCTTCAAAAGCCCCACTCTTTTTGATATCAGGCCCAGCAGAAACATCAATACAAGGAAAAGAACTCCCACCAGAAAAGTAGGAAATCTTGAAAAGGCTAAAGCTGAAAATGTCTAACAAAAGAGAGTTTTCTTGGAGTCACAGGTGAAGAAGGAAGGAAATCTTTATCACTTAAAGGAAATGTGACAGACTGTCTCGCTGTGCAAAGACCTTGGGTTTAAACAAAAAAAAAAAAAAAAAGAGGAGAAACTGTGAAGGGGAAAGACATATTTCCCCCTTCCTGTCCAAAGTTACACATCAGCTACAAAGCTGATATTTAGCATCGAGTCAAGAATAAGGGTAGAACAAAACTACCCTGCACTACAAAACAAGACTTCAAAATAGTGCAGTTGCTCAGTTAAAACTCAATAATCATCTATTTTGACATAAATAGTCTGATTCTGAGGACGAGAGGGTGAATTAAAAATCATTTAAGTTTGATGATAAGGATTTCCTCGGTATTTTTCAAACCTTCTGACCACTCTTAATTCTAGATTTCTAAGGGCAGATCATCTTTTTAGCCCATCCAAAGAATACTGTGTGGAACCTGACAGCGTTTCAATTACAAGTGTACTTGTTCCATCAGCTCCACAGAGATGAGTATGAGATGAAATTAAATGGTCTTGGGATCATTTTCCCTATTCCTTCCAAATCTTATTCTGTAAATATCTTTTAGAAATTCTTTGAGGTGGTATTGAGCATTTTTGAGAAACCCACGTATATGCTGAATATGCACGTTGACTGAAACAGCAAATGATGAACAAGTTACACTTTCTCTTCTCTTTCTCCTCCAAACTGCAATTTTCTGTTTCCTGTCTACCGAATGACAATCACCTTTACTCCAGCGTTTCATGGGAATAGCACATAAAAGGCCTCTCGGTACCCTTAACTTCTTTCCTGACATATTATCTTTCAGTAACCTTTTTAAGTCTTTTGGTATTCAAAATATCAGTCTCCCCTCTTGACACTTCCTTGTGGATGTCCCCTTTTTCTGCTGACTGCAGACAACAGTACTCACCTGCCAGGCTCACATGCCCTTAACCCTAATGTTTTCTTCCATTCTTAATTCTTTTTAGGCACTCCTAAATTTTGCTTCCTGCACAGCATTTTTAAGAATATGAAGATTATGCTTAAATAATGCATATTCAAATACTGCCCCTCAAATCCATTAACTTAAAAAAGAAAAAGATAAAACCTCCTTCTTCAAATTCTGAATTTCCTACGTCTTACAAAATTCAGAGAAAGTTATGAATGATAAACACTAATAAATAAATACTCAGAAACTTGCAAACTCTGACTCATGAAAACCACACAAGCAAGATAATTTCAAAGAAGAAAAATTAGATGGTTTTCTAAAGCACAAACTGTTCAGCACTTCTAGCAGAATTTTAATTTCTTTACATAAAAGAAATTAAATCAGAAATTAATTTCCCACGTATTTTGGACAGTGTGGACATTTAAAAAGGCCATGAGCTTCCCCTCTTGTGCAGTCAGTGTGACTATATCCTTCCCAGCGTGCATTAGCAATGCATTTAAAAGTTGAGAAGGAAACACCGTGATCTCACTGCTGATAAAAAGCTAGGTGCTTGTAAAATTAGAAATGAACCGCTACGCTCAAGTCCCAGAGTTCTATATTTAAATTTCCTGAACATCTTGAAAACAACTTTTGTTTAGGTATTGTGAGGAATTAGAGTCATCTCATCCAGCCTAAATAAACAGATTAGCTACAAATGTCTTCCTTTGCTAGTATTTCAGTTAAGTAAAGCATGGAGGTGTTTCCACTGCTCTTATGTGGGAAACTGAAACACAGCCACTGAATTCTTCCTCTAGTGATTTTGTTTTGGCATTTGATGTAAATACTTTGCCAATAGTTTGAGTAGGAGAACCCTTAGTTGACAAAACACTCATCATGCTTTAACCTGTATCAGAATGCTCAAACTAGAATAAACATTTAGATAAGGGAACTGTATGTAGTTCCTATTTTTAACTTTTCTGAAGGGCCAGGTTACCTGTCAGTTGCAGTTATTTTGCCTTAAAATTACACAGGATCTTAGAATATTTTGCTTGCAGGTACTGGCCACACTCAAAAAAATATAGCTAATAACATTAGCGCTTGTTTCCTAACTCACAGGACTCCTTTCAAGGCAGCTTGTCCCACCCCAGGCAAGTCTCTGCGAAATCGGCGGGAGCTGCCAGTTCCCATTACTGCAGGCTTGACCCAAAGAGCCCATGGAAAGATCCCAGTGACATCAGGGTGCTCTGGCTCACTCTAGCGACAACTTCACGTGACTAAAAATTGTCAGATCAGGAAGGGAGTTAAACGAGTAAAAAGGACCTCTTTCAGTATCTTATCTCATCAAAAATTTGTCAGACCAGATAAAGCAAGCCAAATTCTCTCTCTCACTTAGTTTTATTTTTTGCAGGGGTTTCACTTAGATTTCCTCCAAGTCTCATGAGATCTTTGTTTCTTTAGTGCAGTGCAGAAATCCCACATGTAAAACCCTCTGATGTGGTGTGTTGCATCCCAGCCAAGAAACGTCTTGGCAGCACAGAGGAACTTAAAAAAAAAAAAAGTGGATGAAATGTATTGCCTTAATTAAATCCATTGACCAGCTTTCCTCTAAAACCACAAACTATTTCAGGCTCCACTTCAGTTTTGGGCAATGGTACAGGGAGTTATAACTGACTCTTCCCGTGTGAGGTTTAACACACTCTCTCATGGTGTGTGTTAATTTGATCCTTATCATGACATCATTAGTAGCCCACCAACGCTGCGAGTGGTGGCAGTTGCAGCCCACTGCTAGGTCTCATCAGAAATCACTACTTGGCTATTATGCATTTCCAAACATATCTGATCAATTTAATTAGATAGATGTTGAAATCTGGGAGAATGATTTTGGAAAGCCTGATTCCATTCTTGGCTACCCCAGAGCAACTGCAGATGGAATAGACTGAATTATTTAAGACTTCTGTGCACATGATTTCATGTTAATGCATGTAGTATCGCACCAGTCAGAGCTGAATATCAGAGCAAAACATCCCTGACTTCTACACTTTCCTACTATTAATCCTTAATTTTGGGTCTGGTTTTTTTTTTTTTAATCTGTCCCCTGGCTCAAAAAAATGTTGCATGCTTTCCTGATGGTTAAGTAAGAAGAAATTAAATTTTAAAATAATGAGGGAATTTAATTTTAAAATAGTAAAAGTGCTCATAACTGAGTGCTAATAAAAAAAAAAAAATGAGAAGCTTAGCAGCTGTGGCCTGTTCATTTGTGCTCTCATCCACCATAGCACTTAAGTATGTACTTGATTTCAATGACTGAGGAATCCTACTGTTTCAGGGCCTTTAAACACTATGAGTCCAATTCTGTCACCTTTTCCCAAGATGAAAGATATCTAATAAGGGACACAAATTGCCACTTCTCAATCAGTAGGCCTACCTGCAGAGTAAGATACTGTTCAGCATACAAAAATGATCCTGATTCTGCACTGGCACATAAAGGCATGAATAAATACCATGAGGCAACAGAACTGAATCATGTATGATCAGCAGGTATAAGGGAGAGAGTATTTTTTTTTACATATATAGAATATTCATAAGCAATTACCAGCTGAAGATGGTGATGGCAATCTCAGCCTGGGACCCAAGTTCCACGGAGTCCCATCTGAAGACACTGGTTACAAATCTGATGTCCCCACAGCACAGAACTGTTAGCAATATGCTAATGAAAATCATTTAGCTCCATAAAAATGCTGTTTATCGGAAAGACTTGTAAAAAGCCACCAGGAAAATAAGTACTTAAAGGGAAAAGCATAGAAATGACTTGTCACTACAGCCCAATATCTCCCCTGCAACGGATTGTTCGCTGTCTGCAGCACACCCACTGCTCCGTGTACACAGATGCTTTCTGCAGAATTTCCTTAATTCTGCCATATCTATGGAAACACACCAAGGAAGCAGATGGCTGATAACAAACAAAGCCTTCTGCCAGAAGTTTTAATGTCTTGTTCCAAAAATTCAGGTGCTTTGTCAAGTTTTTTTTTTTCCCTTTCAAGACATGTCCCAGGCCCACTTTGGCTGAGATTAGTTTGGTTATCGAATCCATTTTTGCAAAGCTGCCTTAAGAGGATGTTGTAGAGGCTCAAGCATGGGGGGGGGCATGAGGGAGAGTGATCTTTAAACCTTAAGGTGCAGGTAGAAGCCGAAAGACCTACACAAAGAAGGAACTATTTCTTTCACCACATCCCTTGACTCATACCCAAAGTGCTCTTATGGGAATCCATATAGGGGTGGGAGGTTCTGTGAATTACTCCCTAGAAAAGTATGTGTGAGTATTTTTTCCCAGTCACACTCCCATCATTCTGTTTTAAGGCTCCGTGATGTCTGTATTGCCTGTGAGGCTGTGGCAGGACAAAAGTAGACTGTGTCTGCCTAGTCTCTCGGAGACGGAGCTGAAAAGAGCAGTCTCCCCGTTTTCTTCGCTGCATAATCCTCTTACTTGGCAGAGAGGAACTGTGGATGGAAGTAGTCAAAAACTGCTTTTGGAGACATATTTTCAGAGCTAAACACTAGTTCATGCAACTAGTGGCTAATCTGTTATTTAAAGAGCATATGCACGCACAAAACAGTGTTTAGCCTTGTTATTTCCCTAAAGGCACTAACACATTTTTCAGCTAGCATATTCAATGCCCAGAGAGAATAATTTGTCAGCTAGCTCGCTGCTATTTTAGGCAGAGCTGGGCTTAGACTATTTAACAAATTGCTCTACGTAGATCAACCTTGTGAGCTCATTTTTTCTCTTTCTCAAAATATTTGTATCCCTACAAGAACATAACTTGAGCTGCACAAATATTATATATCATACGTGAGAGCCAGACAGCTAAACCCTTACTTTCATTGGCAAGCAGCTACGCGGGCAAATTACTGAAGGCTGAGCTCACTCAGGTGAGTAAATGCTTCACGATCTGGCATGTTTTGATTAACATCACCTTTGGGCAGCAGCTGGGAAAGATTTGATTTTACTGGTTGCATCTCATTTCCTCCTTTGCTGCTGAACAATGGGCAGAAAGCAAGTGCTAATGTCAGAAGGTGACATCTGAATAGTAGTTTTAACTGCTCTTCAGTCATTAATACCTACAGATCTTTGACTATAAACTCACATATAGAAGGTCCAAGGTACAGGCCAACAAGAAATTAAGTTTATTGGAACAAAGTCCAGAGCTGTTTAGCCAGCTCTACTCCAGCGACCAACATTTCTTATTTAGATATATATGCTTTCACTGAGGTAAAAGAAATTCTGCTCTTACTGCACTGGGACTTTACAGTGTTGCCATTAATAATTTGATTAAAATGCTAACATGAGGCGATTTCTGCCACATCAATATAGCAACAGTTTTCATTGTTTTCTGAATGTATGTTTATATAGCCAAGTTTTTCAGAGGCTGTATCTTGGGTGGAAGATGCTGGGCTGCCTATAAGACGTGCTGATTTCACTGTCTCCTAGGCGAATGTTAGGATGTCCACTCAGCTGCAGTGTAAAACTGTTGGGATGGAAAAGGTCATCCAAGGAGCCACCTTCTGCTCACCAAATAGTTACAGAGATATGCCATGGTAAACACTAGTGGTTCTCTATGCAAAGCTCTCCTTCCTTTGGCTTGTGAGCAGGTTTAGGGATTTTTTCCCCTATGTGATGAAATTTGGGGAAGTTTCTTTCCGCTTTCCATGGAAACCCTAGCTTTCTATGGGAATTTCAAGGTACAGCCAGTGGCTCCTTTTGGTGCTCCTCCATGCAGGTAATCCAGATCTTATTTTACCTGACCATGCCTAAATATCACAGCAGGCACAGACTCAGGTCTCATGCCCTTGAAATCTAAGTAAAGCTTTAAAGATGACCTGATTTCACTAATCAGTGAGCCTATTCCGTGTTCATAACTATCACTCTGACATTATAACCCGCAGCAAAAATCGTAGATAACCTGATCAATTAACGTATTGGAAACAGCGTTGAAGAGGAATAATCTCCCACTTAATCCCTGCAGACACCACTGACTCCTTAAGTAATCATAGTGATTAAACCACAACTCACTGTAATTTAACATGTGGGCACAATTAAACTGCTGTAGAGCATTCGTGTATCAGCATCAGAGCCATGAACCTGCACTCTCCCCTGGAAAGATGACGTTAGTTAGAGCTGGCAGAGGTGTCTGCGGCAGCCACCTGAACCCTAGCAAACTCCCCCAACAGCCCTGCCTGGATCAGCCGGATGAACCACCGCACCTGACATCCAATTCCAAACCTAGAGGAACATCACCAATTCCTCATCACCGTAAGAAGGCAGGTACAGCTCGTTACCTTCCCCAGAACTCACCCAAAGGATGAGAGCTCATGGCATTGTTTTAACCCATTC